AAAATAAAAACAACAACAACAACAACAACAAAAGCGGAGGGTGGGTGGGCATGATCCCAGGCAACGGGGACTGCTCGGATTTCACAGGCTTCTCTCGGTGCATCCCCCCCCCCACCGCGCCCCCCATTCCCCCCGCCGGAGGGTCAAAGCCATGTGTGATGGCTGGAAATTGGCGACTTCAAAACGGCGGTAGCCCCGCTGGAGTCGGGAGGGTCAAGTTCAGCGGCGGCGGCGGGCAGGGGGAGCAGCCCCCCGGCGCGGAGGCGGGGAGGGGAACGGCGGCGGCCGCGGGCTGGTGCGGCTCGGCTCTGCCCTCCCCTCCGCGCCGCTCCGCGCCTTATCTCCGCGGCCGCCGGTTCCTCGGCACCGGGGCGCTCGGGGGGAGGGGAAGGGAGACGCGGGGGGTGGAAGTAGAAGACGAGCACAGAGGGTTCGCATCCGATGGGCTGCAGTCGCACAGTCCTGCCGCTCCTGCCGCTGCTGGAAGTTTTAATGGGGATCATGACAAGCGGGGCACAGAGACACCATCATGAAGAGTAGTAAGTTTGGGAAAAACTTTTTTCTTTTTTTTCTTTTTATTTTTTTTCCTTTTTTTTTTTCCTTTTAATTTTTTCTTCTTTCCTATTTTTCCTCTACTTTCCCTGGGATACACAGGGAGAGGCCAAGTGCGGAGCGGTGCTGCTCCGGGAGGAGGGCTTGAGATCCCTCCCGGTCACACCGGGGTAACAGGCGACATAGTGGTGTGGTGGTGATTTTTTTTTTTTTTTTTTTTTTTTTTTTTTTTTTTTTTGTTTTTTTTTTTTTTTTTTTTTTGGTTTACTGCAGTTCTCTGTGGAGTCTGGCATTCTGCACTGCAGCAAAAACTCCATCCCAAATAATTTGTCCAGTCAACAATAATCTCTCTACATATTAATAAAAGTGGCTTGAAAAGTTCAATATGGGAGCTAAAATTTGTTTTAACTCCGTGTGGTTTTGGAAGCTGGAATTGACATTCAATCTCGTTTCTGCTACAAAATGTCTTTGACTGTGTAAGTGTGTAATTATATGCCTCGATATAATTAATTGGAGGACATTATTCTCTTCTCACAGAGAGAAGAGGGATTATGTGCAGTTTCATTTGGCTCCCAGAGACACACTTTCCTCAGAGTATTTCCAGTCTCTTTTTTTTTTTTTCTTNTTTTTTTTTTTCCAAATCAGAGGCAGAGAGACGTAAAACTTTTCCCTCTTAAAGACGAAGCCCCACTGCCAGCGCTGCGTCCCCGCGCCCAGCTCTCCCTGCCTGCCACAACTTCGTGGAGCGTCTCCCCCTCCCCGCCCCCCGGCCCGGGGGCTGCGGCGGGGCTGTCCCCGCTGTAGCCGCCCGCGTGTGGCTTTCCGAAGGGAGGAATGAATGGAGGCGAGGCCGGGGCTGGAGGGGCTGCGCGGCGGTGGGCGCTCCGCGGCCGGGACAGCCGGGGTGGCCCGGCCCGGGCCGGGGTGGGCGATCGCGGGTCCGGGGCCGCGCAGGGTCTGGCCCGGGGGCTGCGGCCCCTGCGCTGCCCTGGGACGCGAGCGGCTCCCCGAGGGGGCTTGACATTTCGGTGGCTTTGTTTATCTGCCTCCCTGCTGCAAATCACGGCGCTCAGACACCCCGGCACTCCTACGCGGATTCTAGTGGGGCCCGCTAGTCTCCTTTATCTTTTTTTTTCCACGACCGGTTGTGTTTTCTCTCTGCAAATGGCAAACTTCTCCAGTGCACTGACTGAGCTAAGCTAAGTAAGTGATAAGCTGGAGAGACGTCTCCCCTGCATCACTTCTCCACCAGTGCTAGCACCTTGCCTGGCAGAGCAGGAGCCGGGTCACCCCAGCACCCTTTGGGAACCAAGGCGACAAGTCCCTTCTGAGAGGGAAAGATTGTCTAGTAAAGAAAATGTAAGCTGTTCTGCAGACTGTGCTGCCTTCACTGCTTTTACACTACGCAGCACATTTTGAATGTTGATGGAAAGAGACAATAATTTAATGCGTCTCAGGTTATATTTAATTGAGTTCAGTAAAGTCTCTCAAGGAACCATCAAACTTTTTTGTCATTCGGGCTGTTGTCTTCAACTACGAAACGAAATCCTTTGGATGTTGGTGGCATCATGTTACTTTCCTGTTGGTTTTTAGTAAAAGCTGAACATTTAGAGAAGACTGCCAGAGTTAAAAATGCAAGGGGCAGCAAAGGAAAGTAGTGGTAAGAGCCAGTTCCTGACGTGGACAAAATGAGAATAAAAGTTACAGTAGTCTTCTGAACTGTAGTCTGTGTTTGCCTCATGTTCACAATCTGTGTGCTAGGTTAGACAGCTCTCTCAGATATTCCACCAGAGTGACATTTAAAAAAAAAACCTTCAAAAGAGTGAAGGTTGTTTTTCTTTTTTTTTTTTTTTTTTTTTTTTTTTAAGTACTCTGGGTCTATGAGTAAACACACGGTTTGTGTGAGAACATCAACTATTTCCTGTAAATTGTGATGCTGACAAGACTGTCTGGAAATGATATCAACACTTTGAAAGATTTTTTTCATTCTATTTTAACCACTGAATGAAAGTCTGTTAATAATATGGTCAAACCAAACAAGTGGAACCTTTCTCTGTACAGGGGAAAAAAAAGTATTTTTCTTTTTTCCTCTTGAATAATGTATACCTGCCTGAGGTTTGCCACCAAGAATCAGTGATTTTGAAGTTCAGTAGTGCATCTGTGCTTGTATATAAGTTTATCCTCAGACTGTGACAACAAAAGTCTGCTTCACCTTTTTAAAATCAAGGGAGATTAGACATAAGAAAAACAGTCAGTTCCTAATCCACCCTGTTCTGTCTGATTATCGCTTTTTTTTTTTTTTTTTGGTTGCATATAATAACTTTCTCTGTTTGAAACTTTGCATATACATAGTCACAACAAAGTAAGTAAAGGGCAAAGTTGCATCAGCTTTTAAGTTTACATGTATTGCCTGTGATCCTCTAAAACAGACTCCAAATAATACTGAGTAGTCTTTGCCTGTGAGACTGTGAGAGTATGCCTTTTTTTTTTATTTCATAGCACTGTTAATAAAGGAAAAGAATGTAAATGACAACTTCACAGATCTGAGACTTCTTTGGGCATCAAACACAATGCAGCCGGGTTATCCTTTCATGTTTTTAATGAATTTTTAGTATAATTTATATGGTAGCTTTATGGGTTGACTTATATTTTTATCAGAGAGAATAAATTCAGTGACACTTGATGAATCCCTACCAGGATTATTTTCTATAATGTCTTCTCTAGTATTTGTAGTAAACTTTCACGGTGCACACTATTATCATGTATGCTCTGGCTGAGTGTAAAGAATGCTCTTATCCACATATCATGATAGTGCATTTATTACAGCAAAGTACTAATTCTTGTCTGTGGACTCGAATGTCTGCGACATGCAATTGTTTCTTGTCAAATCTGTGTATTCCAATCATATTATATTTTAATGCTAGTTGACACACTGGGTTTTGTATTTTCAAAGCATTGTGCAAACAATGACTAATTACTTTCTGTTCATGCGAATTACCTCTTTTAGCACTTTATCAGGCAGTTGCTTTGAAATAAAACTATTTTACATTACAGTGTGAAAGAGTTAAAAAATTAGCAGAGACATTTAGGAAAAAACCCAAAATGTAATTACAACCAGGCAACTTTTGGTACATATTTAAATTTTTCTTTTTATGTGGAACTTTCCTTCTAAGGCTGGGGGGGCTGTATGTATATGAATATTTATGTTTCTTACAAACTCTTGACAGTATTTTAATATAATAATCTTAATAGAAACATTCTCAGATCTTAACTGAAGCCACACTGGCAGTATCGCTTCAATAAAGGTTTGTGGGTAACACCAAATATAACATAGTGAGAAAGTTTATGGTTAAATATTTTTGAACATGATAGGCTGGGAATCTGACAACCTCTTTTGTTGGGTGAAAGTGTAGTGGAAATAAATTACATTTTTAATACGGTTTCAGGTAGAACAAACTGCCATCTGGTAGTAAAAGTATTGGCCTCGAACAGAAATATATTCTGATTAAGGTATTCTAACTGGCGTGTAAAATGAAGCCATTCATTCAGTAAACTGACAACTTTCCAGTTGGTGTTTGCCCTTACTTAATTTAGTTTCCTCAACACAACTAGTGAGGTAGTCTGGGTCTGTTTTTGGCAGTCCTGGGCAACTGTAAACTTGGATATATTTGTCCCAAATATTATACCTCATGAGTTAAAAAACAATTGGTTAAAAAAAATAAGCAGGCAGGTATGAGAAAAAAAAAAAAAGTGTTTCTTTTTTGTTTCTGAAACTTTCTCAAGTTCTTACCTAGTAAGAAAACAATGCTATTTTCAAATACTGGTGATTAATACTATAACCAGCATAGTCTGCACCCATTTATTGTATAAATACCATTGCCTGTTGACCTTTGGATACATTAATTACAGCATATCTGGTCTAGGTTCTATTATTTTTGTCTGTCCAGAAGATAAATAAAGGTGCCCTTTCCAGTCCTTCTGGAGAAGAACTTTTTTTCTTGGTATTGTCATGAATTATGGAGTTCTTTTTCCTGCCCTGTGCCAATGAAGTTCTCTTTTGACTTTGAAAGATAAGCCTGCATCCAAAGAGAGAATATTTGATTATTTTAAAACCATTTGCACTTAAGTTTTTATGACACGTACAAACTTTCTGGGCTTTGCTTTTTTTGGATTGTGTGTTTGCTAATTAAAAGAAAAGCACAATGAGTTATATTAGATGATGTGAAGGATTAAAGTACAATTACACCATTAAATAGTAAATGTTTACAAGGGCAAGACATGCAACTACATTTTTCAGATTATGCTTATTATTCACTCCTTGATGTTATTTTGCACCTAATCAATAAAGGGCCTTCCAGAACACAGCTCCTTCGCCAGTTGTATATGTGCCCAGACAGCAAGAAACGCTGCTGGGGCAGAGGAGCACAGGGAGGGGAGGAAAGTGCTGGCATATTACTCTGACTTCTTGTCATGCAGACCAAGGCTCAAATGAAACATGGAGCAATGGGAGGATAGCTCCCCTAGTCTCGGTTTAAATTCCCAGTGGACATTTTGTCACACACCAAAAGCGTTGCACAACTGAACACCATTCCACTTGACGTGCCGTCTGGAGTCAGAGGAGCCTCTGATTTGGCATCGCGGGGTTTAGAAGACTTTGATTTAGGTGAACTGGTGCAGCTGTGTGTAAGAAACTTATAGCCATTATGTTTTATTCATGTTCTGTGCTATCAGATTCGTATTTTCTAGTAACTTTAAAGTGGTTCTTTAAAATTTTATAATAACATCACCAGTGAAAAAATACATCTAAAATTTAACAGAACTTGCCAATCCTTCTATCAGTGATTTTTAATATGGTCCTGGTGCATTAACTAAGGAATCTTATTCCTGCTGAGGATCTCTGTATGTGGATTTAGTAAAGCTATCGAAAGAAAATGCTTCATTAAATCGCGTAGCTGCCACGGGTGGTGCTTCCGTAGGACGTTTCTGC